AAGCATGAAGAACAAACAAACACGGCCGGAGGCGAAGTTGTGTTCCCTGGATGAGCTGAGCAGGCAGAGTGCCTGCCTGTAGCTTCATGGAGCAGCTAGCAGAGAGACAAGAAGCTAGCAGCAGCAGTCACTTCACAGAGCCGTCACTCAATGTGACCACGCCCTAATTTATGCAAAAACTTTAAGACCTAATATAAATAAAAGGGTCGTGTTAGAAAACAATTCACTCACAGACCCATAATCATGAAGGTGGAATCTAACTATATTCATAATAATATTTATTGCATCCATGGGTAGAAACATGGTTTTTTCTGCTGTAAAGTTGGGCATTTTAACATGGGGGTCTATGGAAATTGCTCCTTTCTGCAGTCAGTCCCTATCGGCCAATATATGAACTGCAGTGTGTGCCACTTCCGTATTGGCGTCCCGGCTCTTCCACAGAGTTTGCCGCTTGGTCAAAACCCTCAAAGTACACCCTGTAGCGAGTAAAACTCTAAAACAGAAAATACCACCCCAAAACGCCTCGTTGGTGAAACGTCATCATGACGTCATCATCCATTTGATTCTTCCGGGTACGTGCTTACGAAAGCACGTACCCGGAACTAAATGGGCCAATCCGTGGAGCCGTGACGTTATGTCCACGGAGCCGTTACGTTAAGCCCCCGCTGATTGGTCCAAATTGACCAATCCACACACACACTGAGTGCAGGCAGCCCTGCTGATTTCTGCTCCCTGTGCTGCAGGCTGATAACAGACAGTTGGGATCGCGCAAAATTCTCTCTGCAGACCTATTCTCACAGCGTTTATCAACCTATAAACCCTTTTCTTACTCAATATCAAGCCACACTTATTGTTTTTATTTCGGCTGTGACTTTGTGTGTGTTCAGGTTGTGTTTGGCTGTGTATGCTAAACAAGGAAATCACGGAGGGAGGGGGGGAGCTGCAGCGAGCCGTTTAGTGGAGAAAGTGAATACTGCTGAATACACATACTTTACAGAGATAGAGATGCTGTATGCGAAACCAATGTGAGTTTGGAAAATTGCACAGCATTTTTCTATTTTAGTATACCTCAACAATGGAATTATGATCAGTGGAAATGGCCATGACATGAAGTTTGTACCATGTCAGCCTCCGTACAGCAGTGATTCATTGAACTCGTGATTTGTTTACAGTTAAAACTCCGGGTGATCTGGGCCGACTTCAACTTCCTCCTGCTGCGAAAATGTTTTACTTTCTCCTGTTTTCATCGTCGATATTCCTGGTCTGCAGAGCCATCGTGTGTCCATGTGAGAGACCGGAGCTCTGTGAACAGATCCGGGACGAGAGAGACTTTGAGGTAGTTCACGTCTGTCTGTGACATAAGCTGGTGTTCAACATCCACCTGCAGCACATCACTGATAATTCTGCATTTAAATATACTGTTAATCACTTAGATAGATAGAGTGGCTACAAACCAATAGCACATTACTAAAGAGATAATCAGAGAAAGGCAAATCTGGTCAAAACAAGACTATAGTTGCTTATCGAGAATTGAAATGAGGTGTATTTAATTTAATTGAAGTTAGTTCTAGGTTGGGTACTCGACAGACATTCACTAAGTTTCTAAAAAAACAACTAAATTTTCTTTATATTATATAAAATAGAGAATACTCTCAAATCCACGAAAAATAGGCGTGTTATCCTACCTAGTGTAGTAATACAATTCTGCATTGATTTGAAGGCCTTGGGTCACATTACATGGATTGAAATATTGAAATACTCAAGTATAAAACAGCTGAATTTTCCTAAGAAAATTTCATAAAATAAGCACTGTAAATCCAATAACAAAGGGGTTTTTCTTATTTGTCAGATGTAGTAGTAATTTCTGATATGCATTCGGAGTCGCTTTATAAAATAAATCCATCAAAAATGTTTATGTAAAATTAATTCAAGACACGTCAGTGATCAAATATAGTTGAGCCAAATGTATTTTAATATGTTTAGCATATTTATTAGAACTCTATTGACATCAACGTATTGCAAAAATGGTACACCAAATAGCTTTTTAAAATCATTTCCACTATCCTTTTTGTTTTGCTTTGCATAGTGAGTATTAAACTGGCATATTCAAGTATGAATTGATCACAGCCTGTAATAAACATACATAAAGTAAAAGAAAAAAGAAAAAAAATTAGAACTCTTGGTTTTGCTAGGGACTGGACTTTTTTTTTTTAAATAGCCATTTTATGATAAGGTGCTTTAAAAGTTACATGAAAAAGAGATAGCAGTGAACAGTGTTTTGAGTGAATGGCATGCTATACATAATATTAGCTTAAGTTTCAAATTGGGACTGCTGTTCCTCTTTATCTATGCCTGTCTGTGTTTGTTTAACGTTTGTGTGATATTTGAGAAAGAGTGGACTTCTGTGAGGTGACTCATGCTTAGAAACTCACATATCAAAGTGTTAATTTAAAGACTAATTTTGTAATTGTACAATACTTAATGTTCAATATTTAATAATAATAATACATTCGATTTATAAAGCACCTTTAATTGCTAACAGCAATCCCAAGGTTCTACAGGAGGCATAATAAAAACCAACAAAATAAACAAAAGTTTAATCAAAAGCTTTTTAAAAAAGAAAGGTTTTCAAGCCTTTCTTGAAGGCGTCAGTGGTCTGTGGAGTCCTCAGGTGGTCTGGGAGGGAATTCCACAGGCGAGGAGCAGCTGCACAGAAAGCCCGATCCCCCATTGTGTGGAGTTTGGCCCTCGGGGGGCGAAGCCGATGGTTTATATATTATTAAAGACCTTTCTCACAGAAGAACATTATACTTGAGGAATACAGGGTTAATTAATAACCTCAATAACAACTGCATTCCAGTTTTGTGCTAGAGCCCTGATAGTGTCACCAACTGGTATGACTTACTGTGCCTTAGACATTAGCTTTTTACTCTTCTAATTATTGTAATTAGTACATTTAGCTATTTTAAATTAAGGCATTTACATTTTGCACAAACCCTAGTCTGCCCTTTATTATTAAAGGAGACTTGTATTTGTTATGTTTTTGAGACCACAAGCAGCAATACTGACCTAACTCGGGTAGAAGGGATGTGATTTTATCTGAAAGTAGCCTATTGGTCAGTCACCAGAAAAATAGCCATTTTCAACATCAACTAGGGTTTTTTTAGCCTACTGTCAAGTACCACACATTGCCTGAATTTCACTATAATACAATCCAGACCATGTCAGACTTTAGTTTTAAAAAATCAGCTTGGGCTCTGGTAACCTGTGATAGACAAATTCAGGCTAGACTTAATGAGTAATTTATAATCAACAATCCATACATGAATTGGCAATTCAAAAAAAGGTTGCAGCTATCATAATTCAGGCCGGCCTGTTTCTTATAGTTTGAGAACCTTTACTGTGTTAAGATAAAGAGACTGAAATCACAGTGTCAAACATGTTTCCTTTTTTGAAGATTTATGAATAAACAAACAACAAAATGCTGTAAAAGTGGGACATTAAAGGTATGTAAAAGCAGCAGTTACTCTTCCAGTCATGAGTCTGTGTGTTTTCAGGTGTATGTGTTTGACGTTGGTGGAAAGACATGGAAGTCCTACAACTGGAGTATGGTGACGACAGTGGCAGCGTTTGGAAAATATGATGCTGAACTCATGTGTTACGCTCACTCCAAAGGAGCGCGGCTTGTACTTAAAGGTAGAATTTGGGCTTTTTGCCTTAATTAAAGAGATAGATTGGAAAAGGGGGACAAATTATTTAATTGATACTTGTTAAATTCATCCAGTCAGTGTTATAAGCAACCTCAAACTTAATGTTTGAACCAGTTCCTGACACATTTGGTAATCTTTGATGCTACTTCTTGAACTGTTAAAAGTTCATGGCCATATCGTCCTCATAATGATGTCCATCTTTCTCTTTGTTTGTTTGAAAAGGTGACGTTCACCTACCCTACATTGTGGACCAAGACAACAGGACGGCGTGGATAACAGAGAAAGTGAACCTAGCCAAGAGTCAATTCATGGATGGGATCAACATTGACATCGAGCAGGCCGTGGACGAGGGGTCGTCAGAGTACCGTGCTTTGACATACCTGGTCAAAGGGACCACTGAGGCCTTCCACAGGGAGATCCCAGGTTCCCAGGTGAACACAATGTTTTCAACAAATGTCACCATAAAAACATGTAGTTTGGTTTAACTCTATGCCTTATTCATTTGACCTAGAGGCTTCTTTAAATGAATCTTATTCCTTATCTCAAGGTCTCATTTGATGTTGCCTGGTCACCAAATTGTATCGACAAGCGCTGCTATGATTACGTTGCCATCGCTGAGTCCTGCGACCTGCTGTTTGTGATGTCCTATGATGAACAGAGCCAGATCATGGGGGACTGTATTGCAATGGCAAATGCCCCACTCTCTCAAACACTGAATGGTTTGTTGTCCAGTTTTTACGTTATGAATGAGAATAAATCAGCTTGTCAATGCAGTCAACTACTCATCACCACCTTATGCCTGTTATGTTTCTTTTAAGGTTATGACCAGTTTTTGAGTCTGAAAATCAATCCAAAGAAGCTAGTGATGGGAGTGCCATGGTACGGCTATGACTACCCATGCCTTAACTTTTCCCAGGTGAGATACATTATGTTCATTTAAAAGATAAATATAAAAAACTTGCGTTATTACATTACATTGCATTTAGCTGACGCTTTTATCCAAAGCGACTTACAATAAGTACATGCGATTAGGAAGATACAACCTTGAAGAAAACAGAATCATATAAGTACATCAGGTTTCATAGAGCCAAACATTTCAAGTGCTACTCAACTGGCTTTAGATAAGCCAGCCCTTTATTAGTATATAAGTGCTTTGTTAATAATTCAATCGCTCGAAGTGGAGTCGAAAGAGATGAGTTTTCAGTCTGCGCCTGAAGATGTGGAAGCTATCTGCTGTCCTGATTGTCAATGGGGAGCTCATTCCACCATTTTGGTCTACTACGGCAGATGTGTAATATTTAATGCAGCCGAACCGTGTACACAATGCCGTTATGTGATTACTTCCAAAGAGAAAAGCAAGAACACTCGGAATAAAGTATTATTTTATTCTTTTAAATGTTTTCCGATTTCATATCGCATAAACACCATATCCCAACGTGCATTACGGCTAAAAATCCAGGATTATGGATGTAGTTCGATGTTTTAGCCTATCAAAACCTCTAAAAAAAGAAAGGTAGTCTCTCAGAATCGAAAGAGAAAAACCTATGGGAAAAACAAGAAAGCA